GTAGTGCCTATCCTAATCATGCATTTTCTATTTTGTCTTTTCCTCAAGGTGGCTGTGGACAGAAGCAGGTGCTCAGTCGGATCTCGAGAGCTCTTTGGGGATTGGAGGCTTTGGCTATCCAGCAATGGCAGCTGTTAATGCTCGGAAGATGAAATTTGCCCTTCTGAAAGGATCATTCAGTGAGCAAGGGATTAATGAGTTTCTCAGGTATGCAGTCTTTAAGTGACTCAAATCTGCCTTTAACCAAAATCAGATGAGACTTGCACAGTTAAGAGAATTGAGATGAACAGCATTCACTGGAGTAAGGGAATGATTTCAGTGGGGTTGGCAACTAATAGAGCAGTCGTTACTTTTTTATGTTGGAGAGAATTAAGAAGTTGGCCGTTTGGACTTAAATGGTGGTTTTAGCATAACTTTTGAAACCAATTTGAAAACAAATTATTTTTGATCTTGTAAACTTCAGGTTTTCTGGTAACAGAAGAAATTAATGGGACTTGGTAATCAATAGTGTTTAATTCAAATAATGCATTTTGATTAGTAATGGGGAAGTTTCCAGTTTGGGAACCTATAAATGGTTGCTCTTGTGGTTCTTCTGCGTGTTGCTGTTCATCTCTCTGGTTCGGTCTTCTGTCTCCCACCCTCCTGTTCCCCATTCCCCTGGCATCTAATAAACTATCTGGGGGAGCTGAAGCAATCCATGCAAAAAGTCAGTAGCTCTCTGCTCAGCTCAGGGTCCCTCAATCTGGCTCTTGTTGGGCAAGAGCCAGTGCTTCTCGAGAATTAAATGGGGAAAGGAAATGGAAGGAGGACAGAAGGTGGCAGCAGCACTGAAACAGTGCAGCCAAACTTAACCTGTTACTTAAGCATGATCAAAGTGAAGGGGAACTCTGCTTCTGGGGAAAGCACCGTAAGGTTTGTAAGAAAGAGCCTTTGAGAGCTCACATTAACAGTGTTGTTTCCATGTCCTCGCCTGGAGAATGGCTTAATATGGTCAGAATTGCAAAAGCAAATAAAACAGTCTTTTCCCGCCTTGCCGTAAGCACATTAATTGAACCGTGTTCCTGCTGGATCAATGGAAACAGTGATGCTTCTCTTAACCTGTGTAGGTGATCAGACACTTTTTCTTGATGCCAAAAAGGGAATGCTTTCAGAGCGTGAAGTAAAATTAAGCATTCAGATGCCAGAAGAGTAATACCAGCCAGTCTGTGCTAACACGTCAGAGAAATATCTGCCCTTCTCAGACATGGCAAATTGTCTTAGTCTGTAAAATCAATCTTCAGTTGAAGGCTCTCCTTGTGAGGGTGGATCGTGTTTCCAGGGCACAACAGCCGATTTAACAGCTTATGTCACGTAGATAATTGGTTTGATATTGTCTTACTGCAGAGCAATACTTGCTAGAATAATCTCTTACTGGACGCTTTAGCTTGGCCCTGCTGCCTAGAGAAAGCAGTGCAGTCACAGCTGGTGTAGCTGGCCAGTAACTCTGCTTGCTGTGCACAGCTTTTGTCATCCCATAAGCAGACTCAACAGTGTTTGACCAAAAATGAGGAAATTGGCTCTGAGAAGAGTGTAAAACTTGCAGATTCCACCTAGGGATGAATGCTTATTCAGTCTTGGTTATCTGTGAAAGAATGCAAAGGGGTTGCTCTTCAGGATTTTAATGTTAGGTTTTTTGAGCAGAAGCTAACTAGCTAGTGAAAGGTAGAGTGTCTCAAAGCAGAAGCTGGTTACCTCATATCCATTGTAACCTGTGGAGGCTTAGTCTCCACTAAAAAAGATCACTGGTGATTTCAAGTAATAGTTGCAGGTGACTTCCAGAGCTGGAATTATAGACTCCTCCTGGAATTGCCTTAAGCAATAAATATACTGTTAAAGGGCATGTATTTGTCCATGATTATTACACTGCTGAAATAGGAAATAGCGTAGCTCACCTAATTTGTCTCTTTGGATCCAATTGTAAATTTGCAATGCTGCTTAAAGGGCTCTCTCATTTTGTGCTCCTCAATTTGGAAAAGCTTTTGCTTTTAGGCAGTTTAGATTGACTTCAAGAGATGAGATCTCGAAGTAGGCTTTCTTTTATCTGAAGCAGGCACTGTTCTAGGTAGATGGAGACAGGAGAAATTTCTTAAATTTAATTTTTTATTTGTTTTTTTTCTCAGGGAACTATCTGTTGGTCGTGGCTCTACAGCACCAGTGGGTGGTGGAGCTTTCCCTAAAATTCACTCAGTTGAACCTTGGGATGGCAAAGATGGTGAGGTAAGAGGTGCTCCATCTCTAAAACTTCTGATGATTTGCTAGGTTCAGGAGTGACTGGATAGAGTAACTAAGAACTGGCATTGTGAAAATTCTTACTCTTCAAAGATTGTGGCAACTTGTGTTGATGGTTTCTCATTATCTAAATCCTGCCACCAGACCAAACACAAGATTTATTGTCTGACATTGTGGACAGATACTCCTGCCTAGCTGTTAGGATTTAATCAGAAAGGTGAATCCCTTGAGGTTGAAATTTGTTATTACCTGTGACGAGTAAGGGTAATGGTAGTGTACGCTTTTGAGATCTGAATATTGTTCTGCAATATGCTGACCTTACCATCAAAGTCTTAATATCAGAAAGTTTGTATGATAAAGGCTGTGTAATAAATAACACCAGTGATCAAGTTTGTTCTTAAGGTTGAATGTTGCTGTAAAAAAATAAAGTTACTGCAATCCTTTGATCTACTTCAGGTAGAATTAAAATACAGAATATGGAAGTAATTTTCTTACATAGTTTATCTGTATTTTTCTTTATCTGAAGTATTTTTATTAGTAGAAAACCACCTTCTAGTCTGAACTCTGATCACTTGTCCTGTGCTTAATACACTTTTGAGTTTTTATGATTGGAAGAGATGATGGGAGGGAGCTCTACCCTCAGAACAAAGCAAGCATCTCTCAGAGTCAGCGATGTCCTGGTGTTAAGTATTTCTAAACGCGTGCTCAAAACCTTCCCTTCTTCACAGCTTCCAGTTGAAGATGACATTGATCTCAGCGATGTGGATCTGGATGACTGGGATAAAGATGAGCTGTGAGATCTTCAGGAAACTTCTTTTCTTGGGAGAGTTTGTGCAGCAGTTTGCAACCTGGTTCACAATCAGAAGGATATTCCAGTGGCCTTTTTATGGAGAAATAGCACGTGACACACCGTGCTGTTTGATGCACTGCAGCAGTGAACTGTACGCATCTCAAGAAAACATTGCAGAAATTCTATGAATTGTCATAACCAGTAAACTTGATTGTATTCTGTGTAACAAATATTTTGAGGTCAACATGGATATTTCTTTGGAACATCTTGGGTTTTATTTTGTTGGTAGTGTGCTATTTGAGTGTTACTGGCGGCTGTTAGTGTAACCAATTTAAATTGTGATGTGTTTTCCTTTCATGGAGGTGGAACCCGGTCAGCTTCTGTTTCAATTAAAGAATAAAATATTTTTGACACACAGTGTTAGTCTCGTATAGAGTAACAGAGGTGCACATGATAAAAGCTCTCCCATTTGGATGACTTCTGAAAAATGAACTGTAGAATCAGGGCTGGTGCAGAAGGGAGTCCTGAACCACGCCCTTACTGTGACCGATCACGATGGTTTGGCCTAAAGCCTGAATAGACAGACAATCTTAGTTTAAATGCTCTTTAGTCTTCCTTTTCCTATTCCTTCTCAGGGGCTTTCCTTTCATTGTGCCAGGCTTCATAAGATCATGGAAGTGGGGTTCCTACTGCAGTGGGATTGGATATTTGGGGGAAGTTCTTTACTGAACGAGTGGTGAGGCACTGGAACAGGCTGCCCAGGGAGGTGGTGGAGTCCCCAACCCTGGAGGTGTTTAAAAAAAAAGCAGATCTAGCACTTGAGGCTATGGTGTAGTGGTTAGGTATGCTGGGATGAAGGTTGGACTAGATGATCTTCAGAGGTCCCTTCCAACCCTGAACATTCTGTGATTCTGTGGGAGACACTGGGAGCTGTTGGTCTGTTCACCAGGATTAGCGGTGAAGCTAATCCCTGTTTTAGGGCATGAGGATTTCCAGGTGCTAACAGGAGAACACCATGGTGCTGTCTACAGCAAATGGGCTAATATTTCTTCACTTCCCATCTGGCATTGTTTTGGTTTGAAGTTGTTACTTCCTTGGAAGGGGAATCGGAACTAATACTAGGGATGTTTGCTGCTTTTTAAATAAAAATACTATTACATTTTGTTGCTCTCCCTATCTTGTATTGGTGTCTAGTGAAGGGACCCTCCTGTGATCAAGGTTTTTTTATAAGTAAGGAATGAAAGAACTGAAAGTTTCCCATCTTTTCAAGGAAATAACTTACCTGTTGCCTGGTGTCTTTAAGAGATAGCCCATGGCTCATCCCTACGAAAGGCAGTGTAAGAACCACTGGTAGCCAGCAGTAACTTGACTGCAGATTTGGTGCAGGAAATGTGCTCCAAATTGTCCCAGCAGATGAGATCTCATGGAACTGTTCTGACTGAAATGTCTTGGCAAAAATTAAAGCTTATGAGTACTTGGAACTACTACAGTAAGTTTCACAGCAATTTTTTTGATTTTTTGGAATATTTTTTCTTTTAAAATAAAAAAACCCTGAGTTTTGCTCTGATGCTTTCAATTTTTCCTGTTTGTGTTTTTTTTTTATTTGTTTGCTTTGTTAGAAAAACAGGACTGTATACACCTAGTAGATCCATTAGCCACCACACTTCTTAAATTGTTTTATTTCAACTCCACTAGATACTCATCTTTGTAATTTGCCAAAAAAATAAATACTACCATAGTATTTCCTGGCTCTTGAAATATGTTTTTGTAAAATATGAACAAGAAATACTTATATTGAAGTTACTGTAAAAATTACTGGAAGCAGTAGGAAAATCTTAGGCAGTTATCCTGCTACATTTCAATTTGACTTTCAGCTTGTTTTACTGTAACGTTAGGGTCTTGGAAAACTAATCGATGAAGCTTGAGCAGTTTTTCTTCAACTTCAGTCAAGGAGACTGAGATCAATTTTGAAATAGACATAAGGATAGTATTCTTGATTACTCAGCTGTAAACCAGGGATGTCCATGCCAGGCTGCAAAAGGAAACGATATGACTTTAGTAAACAAACTGGCACAGTTTCAAGCTACAGTGGATTGCTTTTGTGCTCTTCCTTCACAGGTGGAATGGAGTTTTGTGTTTGCTGTGTTTAAGAGGGGGCATTTGTACTTAGAATCTTATGCTTGCTGGGTTTAGGCTGGTTATTACCTACTGGTTAATTCTAATTGGTTTATCTTAAATTGTTTGCGCACTTGAGATGCAGGGAAGGAAAAAACAATTTAGCATTTAGTTCTGAATTAATTTTTCAGGCTTGTGTTGATCTGAATGTTTGTAGAAGACTTAAGTTTTTTACCTAGAGGAACTGCTATAATTGAGCAGGCCTATTTCAGTCCAGTCACTGTAATCATCAGATGCTTCAACAGAAAATGCAAGCAGTCTGTGCATCTCCATCATAGTCTGAGCCTACCTGTTACCTTAATCCAATCTGCAACCACCAAGGAAGGGAGCTGTATCCAGGGCTCGGAGCATTGCCAGGTGTCAGATGTCTGCTCTGCGCCCTGGATGGTGAATGTGCTTGTTTGGCTACGCTACGACAAGGTACAGCATGTCCACGTGCAGTCCAGGTACATACATCCATTATACTTGCTGCTGCAACTTCATCCAGGTGTTTGAAGACCACATTTAGGACGTCTCTCAGGCGTTTTACCGACTTCCTATTTGGCTGCAGCAGCATTGCTTGGAAATTCACTGGGAGGCCGTACCTTGAGAAACACATGGACATACACGATCATCTGCTGGGAAAGGGCATCCACACCTTCCCCTCCTGCCCTTCTCCCTCCTCAGGCTCCTGGCATGCTAGCTGGGGCGGCACTGCAGAAACAATTGCAGTGGTGGTGTGCTGCCTCCTTACCCAAAAGCATTTTATTCTTGAAGCCGAAAGGCACCTAACTGCATCCTTCTGCTCTCCACTTCCCTTTTAAGTGCCCCCAAAGAACCATTTTTCATCAACTTTGTACGCCACCTTTTTTGTAGTCATCTGTGTTGTCTCCTGTGAACTCCTGGAGCGAGGTGCGTGAGGGATGTTCCCTCCCACAAAGGAACTGCCCCAGGATGAGAACTGTAAGTTTTGACTTCTACAGAAATCTCTGCAGGTGCTGCATGTTTACCCACTTACCTCAGGACGGATTCAACAAAAACCCTCAAGGCTTTCACGTGAATCCAAGCCACAAACGCTTCACTGAAGTTCACTTTCAGCCAGCGCAGCAACGGGCCCTGTGAGAAGAGATAGAACGGGATCACGGTCCCCTCGCTGTGTGAAGCAGCTCCATGCCACTGAAACCACCATGGGCTGCTGAGATAATTCTCAGGCCGCTCATTAGTGGCTCCCAGTTTATCAGAAACTCAGGTGACCTTGGGCAAGTTGTGTTATCCACCCTGTGCCTTGGTTTTCTGGGCTAAGTGGAGCTCACAGGAGTCTCTTGGAACCATAAAGCCATTTTGACGTGAGAGGTGCTTAGGCACGCCAGTAGCCAAGGCTGTTGTTATGTGGGCACTTTATGTGACGTGCTACTTACATATTGTTGTTTCTTATCGGACGCTAATTTCATCAGCTCTTCCTTTTCACATTTCAGCTCCTTCTCATCAAAATAAAATTCTCGAACCATGAACCTACAATTGAATGACATTTGCTCTCACAAGCCATTATCCAAGCAATACACACATTCATTTCTTCTGGAGAAGCAGGTACAGGATGTTTCAAAGTTGCTAGCCGTTTAACCAGTTAAAGTACGTGGAGAGCGGAGTTGAAGTCGCCCCCGGAAAGTGAGCTCCCTGCTGTCAGTAGCATGAGAGCACAAAGGACAATTCTGGGATCAAAAGTTTGGTGCTTGAATAACAGGATCGCTGTATCTGCTGCCACAGCTCCTTCCCACCCTCCCTGCTCAGTGGCGTTAGGACCAGCAGTAGCTCAAACAGTAAAGAACTCCTAAAAAGCCAGCGGTGGATTCAGCTGTACTGCACACAGAGTAAGCCTTGCCCTTACCCTCATCATCCACTTGCCAGCACTCCCTGCCCAGCGATCAGCACTTCTTACCTGTTCTCCCTGGCTTTAGCCTTGAAGTCATCCATCACTTTTCTAAAGAGAGTCACAGTGAAGAGTCCTCCCTCTGCATCCTCAGCAATCATCCTGTGGGAAATCCACTGCTGTGATTTGACACAGCAAATCCCTCATACCTTCTTTATCTTCCTCTTTTGCAGGTTTATTTTCATTTATGATACTGAAAAACACCCTGCTATTCAGTAACTGCTCTGACTGAAACAGGGAACAAAGGCTTTACTAGCACCAGCCACGCCATTCCCAATGTAGAACTCCCATGAGTTAAGTTCCTCAACTCATTGTGGTACACACACATTCTGCCTGCCAGATTTTTCTACATTTCTGATAACGTTCCCCCACTTTCCATGCACTTGTGTTTTCAAGCCAGGCAGCAGGAAACAGCTGTCTTCTTTCCTGGGCTTTCTGCTTCTTCCATTTCAGATAATAGCACTGCCACCTCTGGTGCCCTGGCTTGGACCTCATGGCCTGCATGAGGTGAGTGGTGGAATATTTAATTCCTAGGAAGGATTTTTTACTCTAGGTGAAAGGATAAATTAATAAGGCATTTGCTAATGCAAATGACGGTACACTGAATTACCTTATTCTACAGCAGGAAACAATTAAAAATGCAAAGATAGTGTTTGATCTTTGTAAAAAGTAGTTTCCATAAAGTTGTATTCAATTGTATATGTCTGAATTATGCCTGGATTACTGTAACACATTGTTTGTTTTACACAAAAAGCAAAGGTCCTGGTTGAAAGTATAGAGAATTAGATTACTGGAAAAGGGAACAACAAGCTAATTGTAAAAAATAAACAATGAATTTTTTTTCCTTCCTCTACATTTGCCTTCAAGAGAGTAATTTCTGATTTCAACTGAAAATGAGATTGGGCAAATCTATATGTTAACATATAGAGCCCCTGCATTAGACAAGTGATTCCTTCCAGGATCCGGCAATCCGAGGGGCTGAAACATGGCAGGGATCTGAAACAAACAGGGACTTGAACCTGGAATTTTTCTTACTTGGTGGAGCGAGGCACTACCATATCGGAGAGTGATTCGTAGGTCTTCTGCCACTGTATGTAGCTTGACCTTAGAGTGATACAAAACAAAGCAGAGTAAATCAATAATATGTACTTGAAAGCAAATGTTGTCGATAAATATAGTTAAATAAGCTAATGGTTTAGGGTAGAAGGGTTGGGGCTCTTTGTGCTGCATTATGTGATTAAGACACATTAAGCCTCTCTTCTCTTTTCCTCTCCTAGTCACCAGCTAGGGAGAGACTTCCATCAACACCGCACCCTCAATCCTTACTTTGGGTCTTGGTGAGGGAGAGCCCAGAGCAGGGAGCTGGTGATGGGAAGAATGTGGCTTTTGGAACATAGTTGCAGGCTGCCACCCAAGGTCCCACGCTCCAGGACCGCAGCAGGAGCTGCCCCTGATCCTCGGGGGTGTGTTGGGACGGGGCTATACAGAGAGGAAAAGTTTTGTGTGGGCTTCTAAGAAGGCGATCATGTAACTTCACAGCTGCCAGTGGTGGCAGTCACCCTACGTGCAGGCACTTCAACCTAAACATAAGAAAAAACTTTTTCCCTGTGAGGGTGACAGAGCCCTGGCACAGGCTGCCCAGGGAGGTTGTGGAGTCTCCTTCTCTGGAGACATTCAAAACCCACCTGGACGTGTTCCTGTGTGACCTACTGTAGGTGATCCTGCTCTAGCAGGGGGGCTGGACTAGATGATCTCTAGAGGTCCCTTCCAACCCCTGACATTGTGTGATTCTGTAATACATGGCCAGCAGAGGCCCTGTGAGTTTGACAGGTCTAATTCCTTTTATAAACTGGCTAAGCTCCAGTAAGAATATGTTTTTCTCTTTTTATTGACTGGTACCATTCCTATCAGTGGGCCGTTTGAGAACCCCCTCTGTAACCATTAAAAACCTACATCCCGATTCTGTCCTGCTCCAAGTTGGGAGCAGTCTTTGTCTCTTCCTTTTGCACCAGCACTACCCGTGGCAGAAACTGTTCCTAACTTTGCTGACAGCTCCACCCGTGCCCCAGCCACGGTGCTGAGGAGCTGCCCCAACCCAGTATCGCCAGATCCGGCGCTGAGGCCCGAAGCTCAATGCCGCGCTGAGCATGTGTGCAAGCACTACTGCCTTACTTTGGCACCACAACGAGCAGCGTGATAAGATATTCAGAATTCAGAACAAAGTCCTCTTTATGCACAATGTCTGCTAGGGTTCGAGTCAGCAGATTTCCCCTGCAGTGAAGACAAAGAAAAAAAACGTTAGTAGGAACCCTGCAGCGGCACACTGGAGGTATTGTGCTGTGGGAAGAGCTACTAGGAGTGTATACTGGGGTAGAAAAAGGAGGTGGCTAAAGAAAACACATTTCTAAAATAACTATTTGGAGGTTTTTACTGCAACTAAAAAGAATAAAAGACCAATTAATACTAATGGCAGAATATTGGTGGCTAGCACTAGGCTAGTTTATGCCCTTTATGTGAAATCACACTATTCTGCTGCTCTTGTTTCTACAGTAAGGGTGTAGATGCTTGTGAAGTGCTCACCTGAAGTTACCACCCTGCTCCCAAACATTGCTGCTCCAGCCAGAGTAAGTAGTGTTAGTATAGACCGAAGCCATCAAAGCAACCCTGGCATACCTAAACTGTTGTGGAGAAGCACACAGAGATCCCTTCAGCTGAAGAACAGTGGGAGCAGCAGCCTCGTGTGCAGGTGGGACCTGCAGGAGGGGGTTTCTTCACAGTTTAAGCCCACTTAATCATATTAAGTCCCACTAGTGCCACACACCTATGAAGTGTAGATGGCTGGGGCTGGCTGGGCATGGCTGGTAGGCGCTAGGTGTGTATGCAGAGAGAACAAAAGCCCCAAAATCAGAAAAATTTGTTCCCGCCAGAACACACGTTCCACTGAACAACAATGGGTGCGTAAGCATGTATCGTGGCTAGCATGTGAGCTAAACAGAACCAATTCTGTTCAGGGATTTTACTTTTCAGCTGAGTCCCCTCTAAGAAACTGCACTTTCTGAAGTCAGCAGCATGTTTTTGCAGACAGTGTGTGCTACTGGCAGCGATAACAGCTGATGTTCACAGTCACTGCCTGGCACTGGGATGCAGAAAGGCTCTTGCTGATACTTATTCCTGTAGTGACCAAGGCCACTGCTGGCTCTTGTGTGCCACGCTGGGGGTGCCGGGTAGTGAGAGGGGTCACAAGGAAGTAAAAAGTTGCATCTCTGGGGAGGGACGGACATGACAAGTGACCTAAAACTTAGCAGCAAAGTATTCCATTCCATATACATTATATTCAGTGTAAATCTAAGAGATTAGAAGGGTCAAGCCCTCTTCTTCAACAACGAGGGTCCAACGAGGACTCCATCTGATCTTCTGCCTTCCATCCCGATTCTGAGTTCCTCAATCCAGCTCCTGTGTCTGGTTCCTCTCTGCTGCTGAGTCTGGGGCTTCCTCGGTGCTGCCTGCTCTGCAGCATCAGTGGGGATGGCCACAGGGGGGTTGAATTCAGTATTGGTTTGTATACATTTGTATACATTTTACTATTTTCATTTTTTTCTTATTAGTACTATTATTGTTTCATTAAAGCTATTTTAGTCTTCCAATTCTTAAGTGTCTCTGCCTTATTCCCTTTTCTCTTCCCTTCTGGGAGAGGAGAGGGGTTAATAGTGAGCATCTGTCATTCATCTAGTGGCCAGCCCAGCCCTACACCTTGCCAGTGTGCACTGTCCTCAGTTCAGCCATGCACCACTCTGGATGCAAACAGGCAGGTACTTACATAGTTTTCTTCTCCAGGCTTTGCAAATTTCCTTTAATGTTGTTGTATGCAGCCGATCGGGTCTTTAGGTCTGCTTCTATCTGAGTCACTTGCTAAAACAAAGTTAAACAGTGAAGTCAACTAGTGCTTGAGGTGTTGTCCTCACCCCCCTCCCGCTACCTGTGCACCCTAACCGAGGATGGGGCTGTCAACCCCTCCTCAAACCATCTGATGGTGGCCAAGAGGTGTGAGGGCTCCGCTGTTGGGTGTGTTACAGCTGTGCCTACAGAGAGAGTTCACGGTTTCATTTGTTATCTGTGTTGAACACATCGCACCTTTCTGAATAGGCTGACAGTGTAAATAATTCATCCAGCCTGCAATGTGTTTGATTTCATGTCAGGCCAACAATTTCACAAAAGAACTCCAAAATGAAGAATAATACGGCAGTATGTAAAAACAGTAAAATATTACAGTGAAGGGGTTTCAAGTGCAGAAAGCATGTTGGTGTACTCTAGTAAATCTGATAAAGGGCCATATACTTACAGACTGGATAGGTTTAAATATATGTACCATTATTATTACATTAGAATTAAAATAATATGAACTGCTTCAGTACAAAGTGTGCGCTTCTGAGCCTGTTCCTGCCCGAACCAAAGGCAAAGCTCTCACTGACTGCTGTGAGAGGAGGGACCAAACACTGCCAAAAGACATGATTCCCCGCACTGATATAGTCTTAGAATTTGGAGTACAATTTACCTTTGATAAAGCTTCTGATATATTCTTCAGTGGCTGCTTTATGGGATATTTGGCCATGTCCCACTCAAACCGTGTCAGGTAGCTAATTAGGTCAACTGAAAATGCAAAGAGATGCATGAAAGCAGATCACTTACCAGATGGCAGGTCTAAGCTTGGATAGTAGACCCCAGCCTAGGCATAACTTTGCTCAACTTTAGAGGTGGGAGTGAACCAGAAGCCCTCCTCTGAATCACAGAATCACAGAAAGTTAGGAGTTGGAAGGAACCTCAAAAGATCATCTAGTCAAATCCCCCTGCAAGAGCAGGATCACATGGGGCAGCCACACAGGAACACGTCCAGGTGTGGTTTTGAATGTCTCCAGAGAAGGAGACTCCACAACCGCCCTGGGCAGCCTGTGCCAGTGCTCTGTCACCCTCACAGTGAAAAAGTTTTTCCTAATCCTAATCAAAATTGGATGTAGATCAAATTCCCACAGATCATATGCCTAACTTAATCACCTTTCTAAACAACCCCAAACCTAGAAGATGAAGCAGAAATCTTTCCTCCACTACATCTAACAGTATAGGACAAGCATTATTGTAAAAATGGCTGTATCAGCAGGACACAGCAACATGCACCCATTCTTCACAGTAGCAACAGCTTCATGTAACTTCAGTTTTGATTATTGCAATATGTCTGGTTTTAATCCTGGCAAGAGCTATTGGGAAAATATCTTGTGCCCAGGACCAGCAG